CTTTTATTTTTTTCCTTAGAATGTTAGTAGGTTTTAAAAGATTTTGTTAGTTTGTAATAAAAAGTCAAATCTATAGATTAGAATTTTTAATTAAAAGATAAAGTGGGATTTAGGGGTCAAAAGGGCAATATTTTGACTCCTAATTCATCCCATGTTGGCATGTTGGCATGTTCCCATATTGGCATGTTGGCTTAATAGCATGAATCTTCACTCCTATTGGTTTGACTATTCTACCCAACATGCATCAAGGTGTTGCCCGAGTCTAAATCGAGGTGTAGAGGTTAAATAAGGGTAGATTTTTAAAGAGAAGAGGAGAAATTTGGATAAAATGGGTGAAGTGCTATAGAATTTGTGCAAAAATCATGTAATTTGGTGTTTTTTTGAGTGAGATATGAGTGCTTAAAGTTAAGGTGTCAAATTTGTACCTACTGTCACCTTTTGTAAATAGATGGAGTTATACAAGAGCTTTTGGAGATCGGGAAGTTGGATTTAAAAGCTTACTTAATGGACTACATTTTTTGAAAAAATAATAATCAGTTCTAGCTTGGAATGAAGGAAGAGGAGCTGTTCAAAGTTGATGCAAAATAATTGGTGTTGTAAGTAAGCTTCATTTCATAGGGGTGACATTTTGAGCCATTTCTTGAGTGTTTGAGCAAATTTTTAGTTGAGACTTGGCATGAAAATAGATACATATGTTAAAATGACATGTATAAAATTTCTTGATGTTTGGATGTTGGAATTATGAGTTATGAAGGATTTAGTACACGGATTTTTTAGACTAGGCTAGTTTTGTACTTGCCAAAACTTAGACTAGATCTAAAGATCTATGAATAATCTACGGTTGATGTTTTGTAAGAAGTTGGTTAAAGATACATATTAATATGTATACAAGTTTGAGCACAATTGAACGGTTAGATTAGAAGTTATTGGATGCTAAAGGTCTAAAATATTTTCCTAGGAAAATATAGAGGGACTTAAAATGTCCTAGGAAGTCTAATGCATCCAAGACTTGTACATTTTATGTAATTATCCTCTTGGAGGATTAATATATATGTATGAAATTTGATTTTATAAATCTTTAACTTGATTGAGAAAATAGTGGCAACCAGAAGCACAGTGCTTTCTTGAGGCAACTCTCTTTATCCCGATATCGTATGGTACAACATTTATCTTTTAGCCTACGAAATAAGATTCATCCAACGTCTGGCCAGACTTGGCTGTGTTGATATCATGGCAAAATTCCAAACCCCTTTTTGCTACATTGACAACTTGTTTCTCATCAATGTCGGCAATCCCAAAATTTTTCTGGATCCAAATCAACCACAAGTTAATGATAATCCATATTGAATTTATCCACTCAACATCCTTAAAATTAAGAAAGAGACTTCTGATCATAGTCTTCCTGGGTCGAACTCCATACCTACAGTGCATTTTATAAACGTGGAGGTGTCTCTTAACTATAGCAATCCCGCTGCATTCTCATTCAAGAAATATGATAAAAGACGTACCTTCCCATTTCAGTACACACTATATATTAAATTTCAATCCAACAGATTGGTTCGGTAGACATATAACATTGCTCTCTCACAAGTTATGTCTATCTTATATTTGTCTAGCTTAGATAGTCTTACATGTGATGAAATCCATATCCTAATACAAACAATGGTAAAAAATAGATTCAATGAACATTGTCTTATAAATAATTTTAGGTAATTTTTGCTTGAAGGTATATTCTCCAGCACATGGGTTAATAAAAAATTTATTGCATTGTCTATCACCATGGAAATATTGCTTCCTACAACACTAGCTATCAAATTGATATAGAAGAACAACTTAAGAATGAGCCTGGTATGCAATTCTTTAAGAGTATGCATACCAGTGCTACACTCTTAATGAATTAGTTGTACCACTAGGGGTGGTGGAGGGATCTTCTTCTTCTTTCTTATACAAAGAATTAAATCTTTATTCACAGCTAAGTACTCATAGTTGATTTGAATCATAGAACGATCCTCGTCATTGTTGATTATACCATCAATTGGCTAGTAAGTAAACCTTTACATCTGAGCAAAATAGCCACGTCTCTACTTTGATCAAATTGCCATGTCCCATGACATCACCATGGCGCACTAATGCATTTCATGACTTGTATCCGTAGCTAATGTGAAAAGAGGCCCACCATGACACATCACTACATCAAAAAACGAGTTCATTCATCCCCCCATGACAGCAAGTTGGTCATCCAACCACCATCTGGTTGGAGAAATGACCTTGTGTATACATCTACCAGATGAAAGTGTCAAGGATTTTCCTAGATGCAATTTTTATGACCCAGCATCACTTAAACTATGAGCGTATCATATAATACTGATACTTTGGGAGATACTAGAATTATTATGCATCATATTGGACTGGCACCATCAAGTGGAATTCAATGTATCTATACGATTGAGTGTGGTTCAAAAAAGTACACGAGCCTCTTAACCTTCATGTAGTGCTTTCTAGCAATGTACAGTACTCTAGTTTGAGCAACATCCTCCCTAATCAAACTCGGTGCATTTGTATATTGTTGTCTAGTAATGTATAGTATTCTCGTTCAAGGAACATCCTAGTTGATCAGATCTGGTGCAATTTTCATGAGCTAGCTGAATAGTTGAGCCCACAGATTGTTGATCAGATCTGGTGCAATTTTCATGAGCTAGCTGAATAGTTGAGCCCACAGATTGTCTCTTGCAAAAGAGCGACACGATTTGAGGGCATATTATATTGAGACATTCTTGCAAACAATCGCTATTGGAAAATAAGGTATAAATAATTAGAGATTTATAACTCAACTTAGTTATAGATTGACAATCTCTTACTACACAAAGAGGCAAAACCAGGAAATAACTACAAAAACGGGTCTTGAGTAATTGTTGCATAATTATTTCTTGGCTAGTTATTTGTGTTGTAGTTATTTATACCCTCATTTCCCGTAGTGAATAATGCAGCACGTTCTATATAGGATGTTTGTGCTTTGGAAAGTGATGTGTGCACGGTTCGTTGTATGAATATGTTTATTTGAATAGTATTTCTTGTTTCTTCATACCTTGATGTTAGCTTACTTCTAGCCTTATGAGATTGGTGACAATAATAACATGCGGTTGACGTTAAAGACACCTCGCATACGGCATAAAAACCAGCTAACTGTTTATTTTTTTGTCATGGATGCAGGTGAGGCTGAACCCTCCAATCTACTTGGCTTTGGTAGATCTCAGCATTAAACCTTACTTTGCGATTGATTATGCTCAGTTTGTTTTCTATCTATACAAATTTAGACAATTGTGACGTTACAAATTATTTATTGACCAATGTTTACAAATTACTTGTCAACCAAACTAAATAGTTTTTGTTCACTTAGTAATGGAATGGATCTTCTCCAACTTTTTCACACTAGATAGTCTCTGGCTAGAGGTGACTGGATTATATTTACCTCCGCCACCTCCTCCTACTTCTACTTCTCCTATTGCTGTTGCTTCTGCTTTTGCTTCTCCTTCACCTTCTCCTTCTCCTTCTCTTATTCCCACTCCTTCATCTTCTCCTTCTCCTTTTCTTTCTCCTTCCCTTCTGTTTCTCCTTCTCCTTCCCCTTCTCCTTCTCTTTCTCCTTCTCCTTTTCCGTCTCCGTCTGCTTCTCCTTGTCCTTCTGCTTCTCCCTCTCCTTCTGCATCTCTCTCTCCTACTGTTTTTAATTCTGCTTCTCCGTCTGCTTCTCTTTCTCCTTCTCCTTTTCTATCTCATTTTCCTTCTCCTTCTCTTTTATCATCTCCTTCTCCTTCTCCTTCTCCTTTTCCGTCTTTTTCTCCTTCTCCTTCTCCTTTTCCTCCCCTTCTCCTTCTCCTTCCCCCTTTCCTTCGCCTTCTCTTTTTGCTTCTCCCTTCTCCTTCTCCTTCACCTTCTCCATCTCTATTTCGTTCTCGTTCTCCTTCGCCTTCTCCATCTCTATTTCCTTCTCGTTCTCCTTCGCCTTCTCCATCTCTATTTCCTTCTTCTTCTTGTTCTCGTTCTCCTTCTCTTTCTCCTTCTCTTTCTCCTTTTCCTTTTCCTTCTCCTTCTCTTGCTTGATTTTTTTTTTTTTTTCGTTCTTGTTTTCGCTTATAAATATTCATTTATTCTACACATCAAATTCTAATCACTAATCTGCCCTCAACTAAACTTTCTTTTCACCTAATTGATCTCTTTGTTTAATTTTAAATCAAATTTTACCCACCACACAAGATCATGGATATGTAGAGTTCCCTAAACATAATCTACCATCTAGCACCATGTAATACTACAAACCACTATTTTAACTATAAATTCTAACTAATGGTACTATTTTCTATTAACTAATCACTAACTAAATTTGTAGCGCTTTTAGACGCTCACACAATATAATGAATATGGTGTTATTGCTACTTTAGAAAAAGGTATCATGTTCTTAGTAGTCAAGAATATTATGTAATTTAGTAAGTATTCATTGAAGATTCATGAGTTTTGACAAAACCAAGGCATGCTGCCAAGGCTTAAGATAACTTGAGCCTTGTTGATAAAATAAAATACAAAAATCTAGTGAATGTAGAGTAATTGCAAGTTGATTATTACAACAACTATTTTTAATTTAGGTCTATAATGGTTAGTGAAGCATACTTTGTAGCTATCTCAAGCTTCTTCTTATCACATGCTTCAATTGGAGAAACTTCAAAATTCATTGTTACACAAAAGCTTAATTCTTGCTAAATATAGAATGAAAAGGTGTTATTAATTGTAATACCATATTGTGACAAAGATTCTTCCTATGCCGCAATTGCCATAGTGTTGTCCACATTCTTTTTATTATATTTAATGATTAAAGTAAAATTTTTAAAATCAATCAATTGAAGGTGAAAGTAAATTTTTTTCTTCACACTATGGCATATTGAAAATATTGATTCAACTATTTTTCACTATTAAATCTCAAGTTGGAATTTTAGAACGACCATAATATGGTTGCAAAAAAGTGAAAAAAATTCATAACAAATGCAAAATATGCTTAAAAATTTTGAAAGCTTTAGCACACAAATAAAATAGAGTATTAAGCATTAAAATTGCTTCTTCGTTATACACTCTCCGCTTTTTCGTCTCAACTCAAGTAGCTCAGTTGGAACCCCATCAAAATCTCCATGTAGCATGAAGTGAAGTAAGCCTTGCAGTCCCTGCGGGATTTCTCCCATCCTGTCCATATGTTTCTTAACTTGATTTTGGAGTAAAGTTGGGTTCTTGCCCGTACTTTCCCAGTATTTGTGCGTGACTCTCCCAATCTCATCCAGCCTTTAAGGGTGCCACAAACAAGTAGCTTCAATCAACACACAAGTCAAGTAATTCTCTGCCATTTTCTGCTCGGGTTCTGGGTACCACTGGTCTAGAAGTTGCTTTTCTTGTCGAATAAAATCCAATGCACCTTCATGTTTGCACACACACTCATGAACTTCGTTCGTAAAAATTGCAGAATCCCGCACTCCACAGGCCAATCATCCATCAGTTCAAACATTCCCAAAACTCTCTTGATAACATAGATCTTCAATCTGGAATCACTAGGAGAATCAGAGATGGCGCACTGATATATTGCAGCATATGCTTTTTAAAAAATATAATTTTCCAATTCCGTCTTCGACTTATGGTCGGCAATCTCAGCACAGTGAATTGCATGTAGCAAACAAAGCCATAATCAAACGCTGTCATGTATTGCTTCTTCATGTGATAAAGGTCCACGAGAGGGGGGATGATCCATTGCCTCAGCCGGTCACAAGATTTAAGAGCTCTCAGGCTCCGTTCAAGTTCAAGTTCTTCGTTGGCTCTGAGAACGTTTTCCCTCTTATCCTTCTCCATTTGCTTGAACTCTGCCACTCTTTTTCTTGGCACAGTCTCCAAGATCTCGAGACACCACTCCATATGAAATATGGCATTTTCCCAATCCATCCATTCCAAGTTGTACAGGCATCCCAGAGAGCTGTGTTTCCGAAACGCCAGTTGAGTGGGAAACGACAACTTCAATAAATGATGCTCCAAATTAACCGAGGATTGAACCAACTGGAATTCCAGATAAGGGCATCCACGAAATTAGTGAGAACCTCATGCTAATTAAACTAGCGCATTTCACTATTAATGCCATTTTGTAGAAGATATGGGATTTCCGCTCTCTTCTACTTCTCAACCGTGCATACATAATGTTTCAGTTTAGCTCTTGCAATCCATTCCCTTCAAATTGACCTCATGAACCCTTGCTGCGTTCCTATTTTGCTCAATTTTTTCTTAGCTCTCTAAGTTTTTTGAACCGCCAACAATGTGCAATTCCACCATTATAATTAATCTGGTGATTGAGTCCCGTTCAGCTCATGATACTCAAATTAGGTGATTTCATGGGTGTATTGACACGATACCCCAAGAACTTGAAAATAGAAACCTTTTAAGGTGAAAAGATATAACGTTCCAGGAATTCCAAAGCCACAAAGATAATTTGATACACCTGTGCCGGTCATTTGTTCATCGCCATTTAGCTAGTCGGATGTATAAGGTCAAAAAATAGTCCAATTATAGCATCAAAATTAGCTCCCAAAGGTGGGAGCTCATTCGACTTTGTCCAGCACAATGAGGATTCACATCTCACTTCAGTAAAACCACGTGACCATATTTCATTTGACCACTTGAGAAAGATGCAGCCAGTTTCTGTTGGACTTGAAGTTGGCAATTGTCCCAGGATACTCTCATCAACTCTGCAACATTCAAAATTAACCCGTATGTACACCTTCTCCACCTCACATGAAGTTTAAAGTAGGAATGCCAGCTCCCACTTTGAACATACAGAACAATAGCGACACAACACAAACAACAAAAATAGGTGCAAATTTGATAACTAGGTACAGTTTGCAAAACATAAATGACGTTTGCAAGCACTCACAGGAGATCATTGTTGATGCAATCGACGATACCAGATTCCTGAACGCATTCTTTGCTGTGGAGTAGACTTTCTAGAGCATTAGTTGCTTCTTTGTGCCTTTCAAGCTTCGTAAAAAGATCAATTTCGCAGCGATTATAGTCATAATCGCAACAAACATAGTCAATTCTCGGACCCCTCCTCCGTGGGCAACCACCGTTCGTTCGATGTCCTTTCAGCCTCATGTGTTTTGATATTTGTAGCCATTCTAATGCACCCTGAAAATTTCTATGGCAGTAGTAACCCTAAACAAACGATGGCTTAGGGTTTAGGATTTAGGTGGTTCGTCTTGCTCACCTTTCTCCTCACTTATGCAAGATGCTGTAGCCCACGTTTAGACGATGTCCTATTTCCCCCGGACAGACGCGTTTGAGAAACTCAATTCGTACTCCAATGCAGCAAATGGGATTTGGTAGTCTGTTGATGAAACCTCCAACTTATCGGTACATTCCGATTTATGGACTGAACACTCTTTTATCTCCTTCCATATCTCGAGTGCTTTATCAAACTTTCTAGCACAATAGTGATATAAACCTGCCAATGGGAGGTCAACCCATGATAGTAGCCAGTCGTATGTCCCCGAGGCAAGACATCTTTTGATCATCTTCAAGACCTCCCTCATTTGCTCGGACAACAATATAGCTGTCTCTCCATCGTGGACCTCTTGCAAATATTGCATTGCACTATATTGACGCTCCAGTAGCTCCATGATAGGCTTTGGCAACTTACTCATGTGTAACTGTGCACCTTTCCAAACAGGTGCTTGAGTCAAGCCTAGGCCCTGTGAAAATCCGCATTTCAAATCCTTTGAACAAACTTCGATCAATATGAATATAATGTCATAACTCATGCCCGAGTATATGCTGTAATATTAATACATGCCTCTCATCTAAGAAAAGAATGTCATGCACATTCAAGCAGATCAACTAACATCAACCTAGCGACATCCTGCTGTATCAGTTGCTCCGAAGAGATTTTGTAGCATGGTAAAGGGTTTAAGAATCGAGCAGTGTACCGAGCTTCCGAGAGGAGAGGCCGTGGGTAGTTGAAATTGAATGTCGAATCCACCCACAATCTCAATTGGGGTCGTCTTGCATTTGTTTGCTCGTCAATCCATTTATTACAAGATTTTCTTTGACACAATCGGATCAGAGTCCATAATTCCAATCCAGTAAACTGTACATAATCAAACATTGACTAGCTTAATTGTGTGAAGCCGGTTCAGGAAACCCACTGAAACAATTGAAGTTGTTCCCTGGCTAGGTCTTCGAACTCCTTTGCTAGTTGGACATCGCCAAGTTCTGCAACTCTTCTACTCATCTGCATGTAACACTCATGTAGCAATTCGCGGGCGTTTTGAATGGATAGTGCAAGCTTTCGATTCTGAGCAGACTCAGAGGCGAAGGTATTGGTCAAATCTTCAAGTACTCAAACAGCCTCTGCAATATTCTCAAGCTTCATTAATAGCCGCGTTTCGCGCTCTAGAAAATAAAATTTGCAAAGGTTCCAAACTGAGGGACTTTTCATCCTCGCTCGATTGGCTTCTCGAACCCACCGCAAGCTTTCGACGAATCTCCCCAGATATTTGTGGTCGAAACACAGGAGGGATCATATTTCGGCGTCCACAGTCTCTTCAGAACACTTTCTTAATTCAGAAAACCCTTGTACCGCTTCATTTTTCTGTATGGAAGAGTCCAATGCATCCCCAGTTCGTACTGAGCCGTGCAACAATACGTTTCACAAATCAGTGCCATAGCCTGCCACTTCAAAGACATGACGGAGTGGAGTATATCCTTCCGTAACTCAATCACCTTTTCGAGCGTGTCCTGCTTAATACAGCTGCGCCAGAAATAGGTCGACCCACATCACTAGAGAATGATACGAGAGTGTCCCCAGGCGCTCTTCTCCCTCTCTCAACAACATTTCCTTACATTGCAGAAAGCAATTTGTAGCTGTGCCCCAGTTGTCCTGCTCGTGCGCCGCTCTTCCCTGGCTGCTCTGTGCCCGAAATTTAGCAACAAACAGGTGGCGGCAGGTTCTGAAGACAACATTCCAAACCAGACTCTATGTGCACCAGTGCTCTCAGTTTGATAAAATTAGTCTCTTTATTCGAAATAATGATCGCTTGGAATGGAAAATTCCAGGCCGATATTGTCGCCATTGTTGCGTACTTGTTCCTCGTGCTTCACTACTTCCCGCTAGAATCCCGCTGAAGCTCCCATCATCTACAGATTTTACTTACAATTCCACCTCAAAAATCACCTTCATCTCCATGGTGATCCTCGCTGTACTTCGTGCAGTCGACGATTGCAACAAGATTATCCATCACCAATAATTTCGTGGCAACAAGTAATGGTGAAGCAGAAGCACAGAGAGAATAAATTTTGGTGAATTGAAAACTCAGCCGTAATATGTAATTACGGAGATACCCAATCAACGCTAAAAGCAAGCAGCCAAGATTGAGGCATACGGAAGCACTGGAACGAAATCAAGAGAAAAAAACTCTGGTAATTGTAGAACTGTCCATTCCTGCGTCAAAAGATGATTCTCTTATAAAGTGAGTAGATATTCACATGAGGTTCCATATATCCAAGCAAATAGGCCCCCACAACAGTATGCACATCACAACATATCAACATTTCAGAGAAACTTCTCAACCCTCAAAAACGTCCTTTTAGATGAATGAAAACCTTTACTTCATTCACTATTAGTCTAGATACTTGTGTCAATGCTATCAATGTTGACACAAACTTTCAGGAGCACCTCAAAGTGGGGTCAAATGCTGCTTGAAACAAAAGAATTGAAAAAGTATGGTGGAATTATTTGAATTTATGGACCATCCAGTAGTGTATTCAAGGCACTATGCTCTCTATTTAAATTTCAGGCACGAAAATGATCTTTTTTGAAATTGACCCCAACTAATTTTAAATGTGATAGGTGAAATTGTCCATGTTTTTTTCTTTTGTTTCCCAATACATTTGTAAATTGCAAATTGTAATAAACTATAAATTTGTAAATTGTTATAAATGATGTGATTCAACTTTGTTTATTTTGTTTTGTGTGTAAATTGTAAATTGTAATATACTATAAATTTGTAAAAATCGTTGTAAATGATGTGAATCAATTTTTTTTGTTTTTGTTGTGTTTGTGTTGTACATGTTAAATTGTAATAAATTGTAAATTCGTAAATTGTTATGAATGATGAGAATCAAATTTGGATTTATAATATTAAATAAATCACAAATTTGTAAGTTTTTATAAGTGATTTGTATAAAATTTCTTTGTTTTTTCATAATCATATTATAAATAATAAAATGAAAATTGAAAATTTCAATTTGAAATGCAACTTGCATACCAGTACTATTCAATTAAATTCAATATGGTTATGATTTGAATTTTAAAAATAAAATAATGACCAAAAATGTTATTATAATTATTTTTAAAATGACATTAAATTTTTTTTTAACAAATAAATATCTCTCTTAAAATTTTTTTTATCAAGATTGCAGCCTTCAATTTAAAATACAACTTGAAAACCAATTTGATAAATTAAATGCAAGGTGTAATTAAATTGATTTTTCAAAGATTATATATTGCTATTTTATGTTTTTATTAAAAAAAATAAAAAAATAATGAAATGAATTATATGAATTTAACTAAATTGAGAACTGTTGTTGAAATAAATGAAGTAAAAAGAAGCTTTTTTGAATATGATGATAATTAGAAGCATAATATATCAAAAGAACAATGAATTCAAATTGACCAAAAATTTTTATATAAGAGTAAAAGTTGAAGTTAACATTTCATATATTGAACTACTTTGCAAAAAATTTGGTGTACGTTTATTTGTAAAGTAGATGATGATTCATGCGTACATGAATATTGACTTTAAAGGAATTGTTGCTATTTTGATACATATTATTCTAGAGTTGCAGGAGACCTTTTGGTATTTAGCATACAATTTGGCAGCATGATTAATAGCATACCATAGGTCTATGGCATAGTTTGCCCAAAAGAATCAATGGCAGAAAATCTAGGAAGTTGAAAAAATTAAGAGGATTTTGATGACAAAGAAAGTTGTTGAATGCTGGTTGTATGAAGTATTGATGCATTTGCTTGAAAGTACCAAGCTTGCTATAGGGCTATGGTATGCAACAAAGGGAGCACAACCAAACTACTGTAAGTACTCAGCACGCGCTTTGCAGAGTTTAGTGGATACGCTCTCAACTCCCTCTTCACCCAATTTTGTATCAAGAAGCCCCAGGGCAGAAAACACAATGTGTTCTTTGCTATCAATGAATACGCCCGTGTCAGCGCCACACGGCGCCTTAGCCAAGGAGGCACACAGAGGAGAAAGATGGAAAAAGATGGGAGAAAGGTCGAAAGCGGGGTTGGGGGGGGGCTCCACAGCGAGGGCGGTGGGGGTGGCGGTCCGGAGGAGGCCGGCGACGTTGTTGGTAAGGTGAGCGGGAGAAGTGGGGGACCGGCCAACAAGGAGAGGGGTCAGAGAATGTCAATGCGCAGGTTGTGCAGTTTCTAGGGTAGAGTTTCAGGGGATTGACATCTGATTCGAATGCTGGAGCAGCAGCAGCAGCCGCAGTAGCCTGAGGTTTATGCCGATTTGCGGTACATTTGGGGTGTTCATTGCATTCCAGGGCAGCCTTGATGGTTGGAGAAGCGTTGGAGATGGTGGTGGCGGATCGTGGACGTTTGTTGATCATGTAATTCCTGGAGCTTGTGTGAAACGACATTGAGTGTGTCGATAATTGGAGGCGTATGTCAATCGTTTTCTTCCTCTTGGGGCGAATCTTGCATTTCATCGCTATTTTCTCCATCTGTGAAGTTAGTGTAGACTCTTCTACCGTTCGTCTCTTGTGCAATGCGTAGGCTTTGCTACCCTACGATTTGTCTCTTTTTTCTATCTCTGTCCGTACCCCTTCCTCTCCGCGCAGGATCATCATTGCCTCGTTTGGAGGCTTCCAGTCACTCACCTCTGTGTTGGTCTAGTCTACAGGCTGCATACTCTGCTGTTTCTATTTGGTGTAGTGAATTTGTGCACATTGCCAGAGTAGAATCCGAGCACTTCTCTCACAATGAAATATGAATATGAGAAATCGGTTTATCGGTTTGGATCATACTATAGTCCGGTAGGTAATGTTTCACCCATTTTTTGTGGACTGGAAATTTGACATGTGTTGGTCGAGTGATCTGAAGGTTGAACATTTTGCGTGAGGTGTATGTGTTAGTGAGAGACCAGGTAGAAATAGGAACGATGGCGAATTGAGCTTTGTAGCTGTTCTTGGCTTTTTCAGAATCATATTATTGGATCTCCATGCCGATTGCAGCAGAGGAGTATTTGAGTTTAGGCCTCGGCTGGTTTAAGGTTTATGAGGAGTTTAGCAGGAAGGCACCTTGGACCAGGATTGCCTTGCAGTCGATTTGGATACAATTCAGAAGCATGGGTGTCCTGCGTGAAATGGGAGTTTCTTGGAGGATTACTCATCAACCTCTGCCTTGTTGATGTTCAATCATATCAGCGAGTGGAGACAAATGACACGAAAGATATCCTCACCGTGTACACGGTCTGTAGATTACGTAATAGAAGTTAGACCTCCAAACGTGACTTTCAGGATTTGCAGAGGCGGTCAAGGTGCGGATTATGTGGATGAATTATAGATATGCAAAATGCATGAGCATGCTTCTGTCGTGTTCTGTCTCTTAGCTAAACCTAACGCTGAATGCACCTTCCGATTTCCGCTAGTGGGGTTGGGGCTTATGGGTACTGAATGTTTTAGTCTGGAAGTACGTTTTTCAGTCCTTCTCAATCTTGGGAGTAGGTCGAATGGTAACTTGAGGGACCTATCATGGAGGTATGGTCCACCATTCATACACCAAAGTTGTCAACTTTGTCACAAAGGGTTAGCTTATGTACATACTACTGGACACGTGTGCAAGTGATAGAAATTCGGCTCGTTCGTTTGGGCAGTATGAACACGATGAAAAACAAGGAAGTTACGTTGATTTTGTGTGCTCATTGTGTGAATACTGAACCTGGATGATACAGGGGATGTCGTTTTGTAGGATTTGCAACTCAAGGCGGAGGCCTTGAACGCACGAAAGGTTCTTAGTACAGTGAAAGCTGGATTCCTTGGTTCAGTGACTTTGGAGGTACTGCTTTGCTTGGAAGGAGTTAATGCCTGATGTGATGCATGGTTGCAGATGAATGTGAGTGTTGGACACACTTTCGGACTTCGGTCATGATTGTCGTGTGTGTGCGCTACATGATCTCTGCGATGTTGGAATGTGTGGAATGTGTTTGGTAACGACATCTCGGTCGATGCAGGTTCCTGGAATCAACAGGGGAAAGATCCTGTAGCTGGGCTTTTAGACTGCATTTCGATATTTGCTGAGCCTCTTCGAGATGATAGGACCGTCACGGTAAGCACCGGCAAACGTACTGCACACCTGTGTGTATAATCTCGATGCCATGCACCTGTTTGAGGTTACAATAATTATACTAAGAAAATAGTAGATTTTCCACTCACACCTGGTAGAACATTTTGTGTAGCTGTTTCATCGGTTGACTCGCCTTCACTCGTTTTCGGTGATATATCTGGATAGGTATTGGATTGTTCGATATGATCTTTGAATCGAGGTTTGTAGCAATTTTCAGTGCATTATTACCTCGTGTGTTTCAATGCTTTACTAGTAGGAACTGACCTTGTGTACGCTACTCTTGTCCTGCAGTCTCCGCGTTCGGAGCGCCTTGCTGCACACCACGACCCAAGTAGTACTCCTTGGTGGTTGGATGAAGCATGGGAGGGTATGAACCCTGAGGAATGGGAGGAGGTAACTTATGAACTGATTACTACGTCATGTACTGCATATTGGGACGGTGGTATCACCGGAGTAGACAATGTGCAACTTATCTGACTGTATGCTGGATACAGTTAGATAATTATCTGGTCCCACGCAGTTGAGATTTGGGTTGTAACAACCAACAAATATAAGATGTTTAGATCGGGAGAGATGTTGATGCCTGTGAAGGACGCATATATTTTCATATTCGGAAAAATTGAGACAAAGTGCACACTTTGAGACTCCCATCTCTAGTTTTAGGGGGTCTAAAATGTTATAAATCGAGACTCTAAAATGTCTCAATTCAATGATTACAGTGTTACATGAGGTTGCCTGCAGCATCATACCCCAAGTGTCAAAATACTGGACATTAGATCTGAAGATGATTCTTCTTCTCTGGGAGTAGATGGTTTTTGATGATAGCAAACATATTGTGTGTATGTGTGTTGTTGTTTTCTGTTTTGATTTGTATTCGAATCCTTAGTTTTGGCAATTTTCATATCAGCTCTATCTGCTCTTGACACCACTTGCTGTGATGTGGGCACCAAAGAGCTTATGCAACGTGTTTGTAGTGTACTTTGTGAAGAATCGTTGCTTCGACCTTATTTGAGGTTCTGACTCAAATCCTGAATAGGTCTTTACGGAGGGAATATTATGTGGTGGATCTCCTGACAGGCCTTTGTCTGAGTGGGCGACTGGTCGCCAGCACTGGCTGCATACAGTAGGGAGCCTTGTGATCTACAATCGTCGTGGTAACCGTGAAAGGCGGAACCCTGAGGTCTCTTTCCAAGAGGCCATGCCTGAGTATCACGGACAGTCTCAAAGGTATTTGTTCCAACGGTTTAAGCTGCAGCGTAAATATGTTACAGATACTGTGGGAACAGGTTCTAGGATCCTCTTATGTTCTCCTTTCTCTTGGTGCTGTTCTGTAATCCTTAGAGGAGTTGAGTTCATGCCTGTTGTTAACTGCCGATCGAAAGCAGTCATGAACGGGTCAGAGTGGAATAAGGTTCACCTATACTTGCGAGAGCCACATATACTTGGGCGCTCATTTCGTCATTGGATCATTCGACAGGCTCAGTATTGTGATGGCACGAAACTTTTGGAAGGAGTATCCACGTGCCGCAGCAGACTGCACTACAGGCACTTTCGTCCTCGGGCGCCTGTTTCAGGGGATACGCCGGCTTGGTGGCTTGATGGTTGCCAAGCTGGTTTACAAAATTCTGGAGTTTGGTGGTTATCCTGGCTAGCCGTACCTGCTTGAAATAAGCAACAGGTATCGAGTACCGAATCTGTGAAAGCACTGAGCTGGGTACATTTCGCTATCAAGGTTAAGCTGGCAATGGAGGTTCGTTTGTGCACGTGTATGTAGAAAGCTATTTATGTGTTACAATGAACATGATACTTGTTTTCAGGTATCGGCTGCAGTGGTGAAATACAGCTGATTCATGTCGCAAGAGGCGGAAGTACGTGCAGCTTGATGCAAGTTGCTCGCACCAAAGTCTTCAAGTCGATAATCAAGAAATCAGAGATGTGAAAAGAGATGTTGATGTTGAAGTGATTCTTCTTTTGAGGTTGGCATTCCTACTCGCGTCTCCAAAGTTTTGGAGCTGCCATTGCCAATCCATTTACTGGTATAGAGAATGTTCCTTGTCGTTCATTTTCATGTGCACACATTGGTGTTTTCATTGCATGGTTACGTAAACTTCTCTAGCCATCCAGATGCTGAACATCGTTCCCCGTATGCAACTAATGAGGAAGTGGACACAATATTATGCTAAACTCAAAATGACTCTCAGAGGTGGCTGCCCATATAAATGTTAGCAGACAATGAAGATGCAGAAGTCCTCTCAGATTCGTATGCGCACTTACTGAGCTAAGGTTTGCTTCGCTTTACAGGTTGCAAATTCACGATCTCTTGACACAATACTCTCAATATTCAGGAAAAATAATCCTCTATAACGCGCCTGTTAAAGAGTGATAATGGCTGCAAGCATTAATTAACAAGATATTTTAGACACATGTTATACTTGTAACAGATCAATCACTTCCTCAAGCATATAACCAACATCAGGTACTGCAGAGACATAATATGGCGCCAGGAGTATATATATGAACTAAAAGCTATATAGCAAAGAGTGTTTTAAGCTTAAAACCACACGAGGTAGCATAAGATTTATGAATCATGTTATACTATCAGAAAATGAAAGTTGAAAATGCACATGTTTGTCACTGACTCCAATACTATTGAGATCTTGAAACTGCAATGTAACGATGTAGTAGATTAGGTGAAGTTAGCAAAAACAGGTTCAAGCAAAATTCAATTGACCGTTTCTAACACGTTCTTGAAAATCAAAGAATTGCTTTATGAAATGATTAATAACGGAACACTAATACTGTGGATTTTGCTTTTGGATTTCATCAAGTTGTAAAGGTCATGCATTGGAGAGACAACTAAGAAAGAAACATACATTTTGAAATGGTTCCTCACAGTTTTGTTGCAACTCTAGTATCTCTGCTGCTCGCTTAGGTCCAAGTTGCTGTACATTCAAATAGTGGTGTAGTTAGTCCTAAACATGTAAATCTAATATGATCCAGATGTATAGGTGTCATACATGGTAGGAGGGAAAGAATCATTTATCCCATGAGACAAAAACAGCTTACCTTGAATTGCAAGAGCTCCTCCCTGAACATACACAAATATGACAAGTTTAACATGTAAATAGACAGAATGATGTTAATTTTGAGTGGTTTTAATTATTTGAAGATTCTCATCTAAAAGCTACAATTAATGAACATTAACAGGACCCAAAATTCAATAGAACATTAACCGGGTTGCTATATTGAGCACGGCAAGGTCCTGCATAACAAGTGTCATATTTTTCCCCCAGAGAATTCAATCTTTCGCTTATTGAGGGAGACTCTTCTTCGTATAAGAGATTGTCATATTGGATAAGGGGTGACAGAAAGTCGGTCTCTTCTAAGAGATGAATAGACCCTGTTGAAAAGAGATACCATAAGCTACCATGATCACACAATAACCTGTTTTTAAAGGTTCAATTCAGGAAATACAAAGTAACCAGACATACCGAAACATAGAACAATCTCTTCTTTAGAGGTGCTCGTGCCACTGCTCTCAGATATCCATGCCAGGCTTCCTTCTCTTGAAATCTAGTGCTTTCTTCAACTGGTTGTTGGTCTTCTGGCTAGTCCTTGAGACCTATTAGATTGAAGGATATGATTGGTGACACTTGGGACTGGGCGCCAAAGATGATGAAATATGGAGGTATCTATTCAGACACTTATTAATAAAGAAGAAAATATTTGAAAAATGAGTCCAAAATCTGGTTGACAGGAAAGTGGTGGCTTACATTAGTGTGAGAAACATTTGATCCTGTTTCCTCATAAAATCTGCTTACCAAAGGGAAAGAAAATAAAAAGCAATCATTATAATTCATTTTTTTATCACTACACCTGCGTAAAGCTTTATGCAATCAGAATTCAGAGCTACAGGAGCAATTAAGCAGAGTACGTTGAATAACATGTAATTTCTTCCATGTGAGGGCTCTCAAATGTGATTCAGTGATTAAGAATCCCACCTGGATCTAGGCACTGGTGTTGGGTATGTGCAGCCAGGCTTTATAGATGTGGAAGGAGAGAATGGACACAATCGATTGTCTGCGGGGCACTTAGACCGCATAGGGCTACGTGGAGGAAGTGTTTTCAAATGTGTTTAAAGCTCTGATTCTTGCCATTGCCGCATGTTGAGTTCCAGCTTGACCTTCTCTCCTACCTTAGTGTTATAACCATCATGTCGTGTGGCTTGACTCTGAATCTGTCCAGACCGAAATTTGTTCAAAAAATCTGTTTGACCTGAAACAACATCACAGGACGTGCTGGAATTGCATCTTGAAAACGCTAACCTGCATTTCTCATTTCAGATCACGTTATCAAACTAGCATACCTTTGAGTCATACTCTTTGTCAAGGCTTGGTGAGTCATTCTAAAAAGTACAGTTGCCATTTGGAATTGTCTTTGAGAACGTGAAACTCATCTTTGCTGCACATTTGTGAGTATTTAATTTTTCTTTCGACAATATAGCAAGAGATGACAGTTGATAAAAGCGTCGGGAATGAATCAAAAGCCTCGTAGAACTAAGGAAGAAGCCTTTTAGCATAAGGTTCTAGTACACTTATGTTCTACATAGAAGCTGAAATGCAAAAATAAATGTTCAGGTGCACACTATCCACGAATTCCATAAACTGCAAATCCAGAAAACATTCTACTTAAAATCATGCAGAGCATTATTTAAAGAAAAGCATGTCAGGAACGCGCGCAATGCAAAAAAAGAAAACAACATATGCGTGGAAGAGAGCTGTCACATAAGCTATCAAGAACAAGATAACAACTCGCAAAATCTTCTAAAACTAACAGTAATGTGCAAAAATCATCAACGAAACCACGATTTCTCAAGACGAATCTCGACGAAATGGGAAAGCGTTTTCAAGATGAAGAGAGCTTAAAATATGCTCTTAGAATTAAGTTAAGAACAAGGAAGACGATGCCGATCCTTGTCCAATCAAGGTGTTCCTTAAGAATTCAAATAGAGCAAGAGGAAAATTACATCGAACTTAACAAGCGTTGTAGACAAGCAGACAAGCAGTGAGCGGGAACCAAAACGCTGCACTACATCAGGTATGGGGAAATAACACAAAATAGCGAGCTCACAGAAGCACAAACCATAGAGTTGCACGCACAGCATCACATGCCATCAGCATTTCGCCAGAGGTTAATAGTGACGATACAAGCTGGTCGTCTGACGCCAGATGCAGAGGCGAAGGTCGGCGTTATCCTGTTTAAATGCTTTTATACGGCGACGGGTTTCATACCGTCAAACGCTCAGTGGACGCAATTCGAAAAGAGAAGTTCAGACGAAATTTCTGGACCGAGTCTAATCTCACGTTACGTATGCCCACATTGATGATGATGGTTGGGCGGCAAAACATCGCAACATCAGAATCAGACGGAGAAGATTGGGCCGTAAAAGGCGAACAAATCTGGCACGATATTCTCCCTTCCCAACACAACATTCCCCGCCTCTCAAACAACAGGAATCTCTAGCGTCTAACACAGGCGTTCGCACATCTTCCCATGCACTTTTGCAAAAAGAAAATGCATCTGATACAAAATGCAAAAAAGTATAGATAGAGCATCTCATACAACCCTAACTCTTCATAGGGAAGGCTGCCATACGACTTAGACTGCCAAAACGGTGTCGTAGAGCGGAGCGGAGCTTCGGAAGGTCGTCGCGGTGGAGCTCTGGCTATGGCCGATGGCTGATGGATCGAGTGTTGGAGAGTTCAATTGTGAAATAGCCTCTTTCTAGGGTGTTCATTGATGTTGTTGTTCCATTGCGTGCAATTTTGAGGTAAGGATGGCGGTCATGGCGCCTGCGAACGGCCATAGTCAGAGCTGGAAGGCGGCGCCGGAGAAGAGATCCGTGAAGTATGCAAGTTCAACTTACGACAATGATGCATCTAGGTCGCGGTACGACGCTTACAGTCGGCTTCAAGCTACTGCACTGGCTTTTGGTGAGAAGTTGTCGATTCCGGAGATTGTTGCCGTTGGTGGACAGTCTGATGGTAAGAGCTCGCTGCTCGAGGCGCTCTTAGGATTTCGGTTCAATGTTAAAGAGGTGGAGATGGGAACGCGTCGCTCGCTCCTGCTGCAGATGATCCATGATTCCGACGCGTTGGAGCCCCGCTGCCGTCTCCAGGTGAGTGGAAGACATTGCCTCGAATCGATGTCCCGTGGTCATGAAATTTATACGTAGGTGAGTGACTAGCATTGTCCGTTTGAGTGTCGAGGGGAATTGTGCTCCAGGTGCTCAGATTGATGTTGGCACTACGCGCTGGGAAAGCTTTAGGCTGCCGCCGTTTCTTTTGTTTTTAGCGTGGCCAAACAGTCATTCAACAAAGTCGGAGATGCAAGAGCATGTCAGAGGCAAAGAAGGCATTGAGCTTCTAGGCGGCTGAGACATGCTGTAAGCTGTAAGGACATCATATTGTTAGGTTTTAAGTTCGTCTTTACTTTCAATTTGATTTACACGCGAAGGAGGAAACAGAGACCGACATGCTTCTGTATGTGATACACGCATTGTAGGATGAAGAAGCTGATGACTACGGGCCAGTGATCACGCCCGTTTCAGCTGTCGCTGATCATATTCGTAAAAGGACTGAGGAGTTTTTGAAGAAATTGGAAACGGCAGTAAGTTCGAAGCCAATTGTGATGCGAGCGGAGTACGCACTCTGTCCCAACCTTACAATCATTGATACCCTTGGTTTTATTCTCAAGGTACAGCAATTCTTAACCATCTGGTCTGTTTTCTTGGGAGGAATAGAAGTCTCATTTCTGGTAGAATATTATCTTGAACATTGTTTGATCCCGTGATTTTGTTCGAGAGAAGTCGTGTGCACGAACCTGTGTTTGGGCGTTTCTATGCATCTTATCTGCATTTTCAAGCTGGTGTACGTCGGCTTCTCTGTAGACATCTTGAACCATGCTTTTGAAACGTAAAATCTTAGCGAATTTCTCTTGCGTGACGTCTTCGCTTTCAAGCTACATCGTTGATTGTGCGCACATGTTTGCTCTTTGAGGAACCCTGTGGATTCTGAGATATGTTAGGTTTGGTATCTGTAACGCAGGCTAAAAAGGGTGAACCGGAGAGTACTCTTGAAGATATTCAGAGCATGGTACGACAGTTAGCTGCTCCTCGACACAGGTTACTACTGTTTTTGCAACAAAGCAGTGTAGAGTGGTGTTCATCTCTTTGGCTGGACGTCGTAAAATCCATTGATCCTACCCTGCAACGTACTATCGTGATGGTTTCAAAGTTTGATAACCGTCTGAAGGTACATTTGGTTTTCCCTTCTCAAGGCAAGGTATCTTATGTGAAGGCATTGTCAACTCACGAAGTACATAAGAGTATATTCGAGGTAGAAGCTGTTTGTGCCCACTTTAATTTTAATTTGGTCATTTACCTAATTAGCATGTCTGGTTGTAGGAATTTACCGAGCGATGGGAAGTAGATCGATATCTTAGTACTGGAGGTTATTTAGGTGAGAATGCTCGCCCTTTCTTTGTGGCTTTGCCCAAAAATGGAGCGACAACGACCAATGAAGATTATCGGCGGCAAATTTCAGTTGTTGATACAGATATTCTTAAACAACTTCGTGAGAATGTTGCTGGGGGGATTTGACGAAGAGAGATTTGGGAATTATGTTGGATTTGGAAAGCTAAGACTGTACCTGGAGGCGGAACTTCAGCGGAGGTATCATTTGTCTTGTGTCACCTTGGTAAATAGTGTCAACACAGGAACTTTCAAAAATAATGACCCTTCATCTTAAGTACTGTGTGGCTATTTCATCGAAGAGAATTACGTTTAGGACGTACATGTTTTTCGTTCGACACATGAAAGCAAGAATGTACTACATTTTGACCGCGAAATAAGATATGTTTCTGCAAACTTCTCTAGAGTCCCTCTTCCGAAACAGTGAGTGTGCTGCTCTTTACTGCATCTGAACTGATATAAGTGGGTATTTTTTTTGTAGGTATAGAGATGCTACTCCAGAAACGATGCTACTGTTAATCATCGGTGCACGGAGATGCAATCTGAGCTTGCTATTGCAGAGGCGAAGATCAAAGCATCAGCTGATGTGACATCACTGCGGAAACTTGCTATGAAGCATGCATGGTTGATGGCAAGCAATATGGTAGGTTTTGTCATTTGATTAGCATAGTCTACTTAAGTTATGCTGTTACATAGAAACAATTCCTTGCTTGTTTTAAAGAAGGTTGTTCATGTAAGTAGTGATAGCTTCACATTCTACATAGCTTGTATTTATTTCAATTTGAGAATTTGGTGCAATTAAATCGTGTATTCATGTCATCATTCGACGTCCTTGACAAGTAGATATATTCCATAAACTCCTGTCATTTTGCAGATTGAACTGCTTGATGGTGTAGACAGTCCAGATCCTTCCAAGTGGGGCCGGACTTCAGAGGAGAGAAGTGAGAGTGGACTGGTTAGATGGCCAGGCCAGGTGGAGGATATCGTGCCATGTAATGCACACCTGAGTCTCTATAGACGTGCTGCCTTTAATCGGGTGCTGGATGAGTACAAGTGTGTGGCGTGCTCCATAGAGTGGCCTCCTGTCCGAGAAGAAAGGGTGAGAATGTTCAAATCTTTGCTGCGTAGAAAGGTCCCATCAATGAATGATTTCTCTCTTGTGTGGTTTTTGGACATTCGTACTCTTAAGATGCAATGAATTGCACGGATGCACTGATGACTCATTGTTGCGTTACAATCCCACATGCGTGCTGTATGTAGAATTAGAGGATACACCTTATTAGGCCCCACACCTTGTTCTGACTTCTCATCCAACCTCTTCCATGTTGGCAGGTTGCAAGTATTTTACAGGCTCGTGGAGGTCCCGTGTTTGTGCTAGCTCAGTCATCAGCAAGATCCTTGTTATTAGTATCATCTCTATTTGACATTTTTAGTGTTATCACTTAGATGACTTATCATTTAACTATAGTTCTTGTATATTGATTCATTTTGTAAGAAAAGCTTGGTTGGGCCAACATGGATTGTCCTTTGTACATCAAACAAGGATCGAAATAGAAGTCTGTTACCTTGGCTTGTATGTATATTCCCGATCCTTTGAATTATTTGGAAAAATGGGAGGTCAAAAAATATATACAACTTGGTCAGTGTCATCTACAATCTACCTTGCCTGTTTGTATCAAATTGTGTCCCATGTCTCGCGCCCCATGTCTCGCGCCCCATGTCCCGTGCCCCATATCCTGTGCCCCATGTCCCATGCTTCTCTACTTTAGCAATGTCCATTGAAGGAGCCATCCTTTCCTTCACTTCACATCATACGTTTACAAAGAGTACCATATTCAAATTTGTCAACTCCCCATTCCAAGTAATCTTTGAACACCTCGTGATCATTAAAAATGAACCAGTTATGAGTCTTGAGAGATGGCTCTGTGATGCACTTGGTCTTGATGACAATGACAGGGCAATTGGTGGCCTTATCATGGTTGCCATAAATTCCACTATGGACAGGAGACGTGATTGGTGGCAGGGTAACCCAAGACCATTCCGAATCTGCAGCAGCTATCTCCAAACATGTTTCAATGTCATCAACTCCCACATTCTGCTACCTCAACATGTGCAAACAAACAAAAACAAGAAAAACGCTTAGAGGCTAAAACTACAACATAAAGGATGGAAGAATATTTCAATCATCCCCGAACCTTAACATTTGGGTGGATGAATTATAGACGGGCTCTCAATGACGATACAAATGGTTATTAGAATCATACTAGACAACATAATGATTCCGCAATCATTTCTCGGTGTGCATACTAAAATCAAGTCAGGATTGATGATGAGGAAGTGTTGGCAGATCTTACGATTACTTGACAGTATTGGTCTGCCATGCTCACCAAATTTCTATTGGTTGAGGAAAAGCCGAGCGCAGGCCGAAACTTCCATCTCTAGGCTCTTGTTGTTTTGCAAAAGCTGCATTATCTCGTACCCAGTAGATCAGGTTTGAGCCAATTAAAGAACAATGAAACTGGCAAAGCATGTCGGAAGACCTACACATGATCTACAAAAGTGTACCTGTCTATCACTGAGCCCAATATTCTCGAGATCTTGCAACTGAAACGGCACAATAAAGGAGTGGGTTAGGTCAATCTAGCAAAACAAGTTTATTGAGGATCTAAAAAGTAATAGAAGGATAGCATAAGTGCATTAAATGAAGTAAAATAAACTTCTTACTGGAAATGCCATCAAGAAATAAACGTACAACCTTAAATGGTTCCTCGCAATTTTCTCGCAGCTCTAGAATATCTGCTGCACGCTTAGGTCCAATTCCCTATTAATTTAAACAGCAGTGTGGTCAACTGATGTAAAATGTGGAAGGTGTGATACATGGCAGAAGAGAGACAACTACTGACACAAGAAACAAGAAACTAAATACAACTTAAAATACCTTGAGTTGCAAGAGCTCCTCCCTGGACATTCACCAAGAGCCACAAGATTAGCATGTAATCTAGCATAATGGATGAAAAAACTAAAATTTCTTATCCAAGAGCAGCCCTTCTCAACCACAAATATGCACCAAAATGCATGAACCTGGTTGCTCTGTTGAGGATAGTAAGGTCCTGCTTTACAAGCTTCATCTGTTCACAATAAAGTAATACTAGAAGTCAATGAAAGAGTTCCAGTCTCCTACAAGAGGGATTTAACTCAAAAAAAAGGTCACATCAACTGGAACGCTGAGCTTTATTTTGAAGTTTTGGATCACCAGATTTTGAGAATTGCTCCTATATGCATATCTGGAATAAGAAACCAGAATGAATGAGGAATAAAACACAAGATAGTGTACAAAGTTTACCTGTAAATCAGGATTCTTCTGCTAGAATTGTTGAAATGGTGTTACTGACTCAGAATCAAGTCCGGTAGCCAAGAAATGGGTTGAATCAGAAGTTGAAATAGAGGGTTCTTCTTGGAAAATAGGATTGTCATATTGAATGTAGGATGAAGAAAGATATTTTTCTCAGGAACACGAATAGATCCTGTTGAAAAGAGACACAATGAATAAGTCACCAATATTGCACTAGGATCTAGGATTGTAAGAAATGTGGAATCTGCACGTAGGACTTGTTTCACAGAAAATGGGCACAATCGATCATGTGTAGGGCTCTTGGAACGCATGGGACTTCGAGGAGGAAGAATCTTCGATGTTTTAGGCTTCGACTTCTGCCATTGTCACATTCTGGATTCCAGCTTGACCTTCTCTTCGACCTCACCGTCATGTCGGAGGCCTTAGCTTTAGATTTGTCCTAAGTGACTTTCAACTCTACCGTCTTCATATGTTCCAACACCTTGAACAAACAGATTTATCATTGAAATAATTAGTTCTCCAATTTTAGTATTATTAAAACCTCTTCATTATACAATCTCATGAAGGTGACTTGAAACAGCAAATATTCAGCAGTTGCTAGACAATGTAGATCATTTTCAGCTGGATGATTTGAGAGCACCTTGATTTTAATTGCATGCAATCCGCGATCCTTGTTGGTCAATTGCTCAGTCAGTGATTCCACCTTGACTTGAAGCTCCGCCATCTCCGACGGCAACCTGCACATATCATAGTTAATTTTCAACATGGAATAGGCAATCATTGCATTTAACAATCACATTCCTAAAAAACATCATGTTGACTGCAGATGCATAAACAAACATGAAAGCCAACTGATATCTTAGCCAATCATGTGTTCAACTGCTCTCAGACCTTTGCCTTGTTTCATTTGCTGTTCCACGAAAAATCAAATCCAGTTGCCACTGCTGAATCAAAGTATATATGCATTTGCATATATGCAATTGAGAGCCTATGTGAATAAATTGTGATTAGAGTAATGAAGTACACAGGAAGTACATCATCAAATCGTGTCGAGGTCACACGTTCCGTGGAGAGAAGATCAAGACCTGCTGAAAAGCCAAGGGTGGCCAAGGAGTGGTTGAGGTGGTTGATACACTTGTCCAGGTTGTGAACATCAGCAAAATTTGTATTCCTGCAAAGTAAAAGAATAAACAAGATCAACCTCTCCTGCCAATAAAAAGAGAGAGATTGAAACAAATTGGATTGCAGAAGAAGAATGTACAAGCAGAGACACCTGAATTCAAGCTAGGCATGTCATTAGATTTGAGACATTGTACTTATTAGGTCATTTGATTAAATTCACTTGTTCTACACCAAAGTTGATAAGGTTAAGAGCAAACAGCAAGCTCACGGGGATTACCTTGTCGTGTAAACGGTATCACATATGTCCTGCAAAGAGAAGAGAGCCAGAATGTCAGTCCAATACAACTCTTGGCTAAACCGAGCTATGACCGTCATTCCTAGAATGTTTCTAGGAAATAAATAAACATACACTAGACCAGTTCTTTTACCTGTGACACCAATTGGTCATATGCTTGTATACTAGGCGCCACTTCTACTTCATGGCGCTTTTGTGCTATTGATGTTGCCATATTCTTGAAGAATTCTACTCGTTGTACCGATGTTGTCCGCCATTGTACTCAGACCTCCCCAAACCTAAACGCAATAGGAGTCAATACAAAAACACTACTAAATATTCGTCAAGAAACGGAATATAAAGATCCTAGGATAATCTCAAGAAATAGTTGTCAGCAGCAAGTACATCTTTATGAAATCGTGTCGTACTTTGTTGAACATAAACGTGCGGCCATTTTCAACGTCGCCAATTCTAGTGTACACATTACAGGCAAAATTCCCGCAACAATTCTCTCTAAAAAAGTACGAAATAGTTGTTGCGACACGCATAGCCTAGAGAAATTTTTAGGAGAAGTAGGAGACAGGAGCGGAGTAGCTTACTGGCGTGTTAAAGGAGTCCGGGATGAAATGTCGAAATGGGATTTACTTGATGGAGCATTTGGAGGTGATATGGAGACATCAAGGCTATCACTTTGAAGACATTCTAGAAAAAATTGCTACTGTTCCTGCTCTCCAATACTCTTTTACACCCAATGTCATGGAAGGTATGGTGGATAAAATTACTAACTGGAGGATTGAAGATGCTCAACAGCTTGCGGGCAACTTAGATGTAAAGTTACTAGCTGCGGCTCAAAGAATGGAATCCTATTGGAATGCTCTTATGGTTTCCAATTTTCGTGAGAAATGTGTCTTCACATATTACAAGACCATTCTATCTCTTCCTTATGTTGAAAAACAGGCATGGTTTTCAACAAATCAAGTTTGCAATGTGTACTAAACTAACTCACTTCTCTATTCTTGTTTATGTGATCCATGTAAGCCTTGATTCATTCTTGGTACCCTATTGATGGATTAAATTTGGCAAAAAATAAATGCAATTGAATGTACCAAATTATTGTGAAAATTTTACAAAAAATGTTGGAAATTCTTTTATAAATTCTTTTTGACAAATTACTTAGAAGTAGTAAAAAATTTGATTTCATAATCTTTCAACCTTCTTTTGAGTGCATTTGTCTACATGTTGAAATTTGGAAAAAGAATTGGTTGTTGAATGAAAAATATTGACTTGAAATTTTCTTGGGGGCAAATGAGTATTAATCTCTTTAACCCCTAAAGGCCTAAAGCATTTTCACACCAAAAACACTTCAAAATTGCACATTCAACATAAAATGATACAAAATAACTGTAGGATCTTGTAATGAAATTGTATAATAGTGTGTGGTAAAAATTTTGGGATGTTTGACCATACAAATTGAAAGATATTAGCATTTGAAGTGAGAGAAAAAGTCTTTTTGAGGTCATACTATACACCTTCAACAAAGTTTGACCACCTTCTATGACAATTTTTTGCACTATAGGTAGTGATTTTCTAATTTTAACTAACAAAGGATTAAATTAGATACATGTGCATCTAATTTTAGAAGTAGAAGAGGGTGGTATAAATGTCATTAAAATTCTTGCAATGCAACTATGTATTGAGAGCTAACAATACACTTACAACTTTTGCATATAACATATCCTTTTCATATTTTTAAAACTCAAAAATCCCTACGGTAGATACAAATTTTTTCATTTCTTTTCAAAGATTTTTTTTTTTTAGAATGGACCAAAAGTCTAATTTCTATTGATATTAGAATTTATTAGGGTTTTACTACACTAATTTTCATAGGTCGTATGAAATTGCTGCATTATTTATTATAAATCACCAAAATTTAATTGTAACTTTTGAATCATAAGTCAGATTTCTACAAAGTTTATGTCTATGGAAAGCTAATAAAAAGTAGTCCATTCAATAGAAATCTCAAAAAATCATTTCTTAAATTTGAGAACATGGTGTATAATCCAAACTCAAAGTGTCCACCAAGGGGACATTAGGCCTATATAGATTAACATGCAACATTTGATTTTTCTTCAACTTCTAGAACAGGTCAAAGGAAATGAAGAATTGAATCACTTGAGATCGTTCTACATGGCCATGAAAAAAAATGAGATTTTGCCTCTTACTAAATAGGAGTTTATGTTTCAATTAGGTGAAAAACTTGATTTTGCTAGAGAAAGAGTGATTAATGATGAAGGACCATTTAAGCAACTTTGGACCAATGCCTTGGAGCAACTAATTGAAGATCTGGGGGTATGTAAAGCATTAAATTTAACTGTGTGTTTTTGTTGTACAATCAAGTCAAATATAAAGAGAGTGGTGATTTTTTATATTCTCATTGACAACTATTATTGTTATGTGCAAACAATATGGTTAGATTGGATTTGAAGTTCTAGCTTCTCTAGCTTTACTAATTTTATAAACTAAAAATTTATAGGAGTATGGAGCCATACTTGTTACAAGAGAAGATCAATTTTTTGGAGGTCTTTTTTATTGCACCTACCTCCTATAAAACAACCCCTGCAAGACCAACTCTAGTGTTATTTTCTGATACACTATCACTATTTATGAGATATAACTAGTTTGATTTTTGAACTTAGGATTTTGAATTTTTTATTTGTAAAGTATTTTTAAATCAATTCTTGCAAGTACAATGGTCACGTTGTTTTTTGAATTCTAGTTTTTAAACTATAAGATGATGTAAATTTGACTTTTAAAGGTTTAGGATTTGACTTTTGGCTTTACAAAATATTTTTAGAGGTAGCTTTTGAGTATCTCTATAATTCAAGTTTTGCAAGCTTAGTGGTAGTATTTTTTTAGGATTTAGGGTTTAGGGTCGTAAGGCTATCCTTTTAGAATTTAATATTTTGGACCATAAGGGCTTTCTGTCTAATAGCGCATTTTTGATATGCAAACAATTTGGCCACATGGCCGTTTTCACTGAAAGGCCATTTTTAATAGAGGGAAAAGTTCGCCAAAAGGACATTTAGAAGAAGTAGTCATCTTTAATATGAGTGTGTTTTTTATACAATGATATTTTGAATTGAAGGAAATCTTTAATATTAGAATATCTTCTATATAAAGTATTTTTAAATTTAGGCCATCTTTGTCTTATAAGCAATCTTGCCATGTCAGCCTTTAGATTTCAATATTTTAAGATAATTAAAAGAATTAGTTGTATGGAAAATATTTAGACCATTTGTAACTTCCACAAATTTCTTTTATCCTTCTTTCATGTAAAACCATCTTAAGTTTACAATTTTGGAACCTAATAATACAAGGCATGGCTTATCTTTGATTTTTTCTATTCTCACATAGATTTTGTAAAATTTACCACAATCAAAAGGTTCTTTTGAATGGAAAATGTTTGGACCATTTGCAACTTCTATTCAAAAAAAATGTCCTTCTTTTTCTTAGAGAAGTCATGAGTTTAGAATTCTAAGGCCTTGAAGTACAAAACATGGCTTATTCCTATTGTTTTCCATTTTTATATAGATTTCAGAACATTTAGCACAATCAAAAGGTTTTTTTTAAATGGAAAACAATAGGAATACAAGTTTTTCTTGTCTTCTTTTTAAAGGAGATTTGTGAGTTTAGAAATCGATAGCCTTAAAGTATAGGACATGGCATATTTATAGTTTTTTCCATTCTTACATAAATTTCAAAAACTCAACATAGTCAAAAGGATTTCTAGAATGGAAGTTCTAGGACCATTTGCAACTTCTACAAATTATTTTTGTCCTTTTTTTATGTAGGAAATTCATCAGTTTGTAATTTTGGGGCCTTTGACAATAACACATGGCTTATTCCTAATTTTTCCGATTCTCACATACATTTCAAGAAATTTAGCACAATCAAAAGGTTTTCTTGAATAGAAGACGTTCGGACCATTTGCAACTTCTACAAAAAAAATTTGTGCTTCTTTCATGTAAAGTAATGAGTTTAGAATTTTGGGCCTCCAAGTACAAGAAATAGCTTGTTTCTATTGTTTCTCTATTTTTTCATACTTTTAAAGAAATTTAGCACAATCAAAAGTTTTTTTTCAATGGCAATTGTTTGGACCATTTGCAACTATCTTCTACAAAATTTCTTTTGTCCTTCTTTTATGTAAAGCAATCATGAGTTATAAATTCTAGGGCCTTAGAAATGGAACATGGCTTATTTTAAGTTTTTTCTATTTTCACATACATTTGAAAAAATTTAGCTCAATCAAAAGGTTTTCTTGAATGGAACATGTTTGGACCATTTGTAATAGGTACAAATTTCTTTTGTTTTTTTAAATGTAATACAATCATGAATTTAGAGATTTGAGGCCTTAAAGTACAACACATGGCTTGTTCCTATTTTTCCATTCTCACTATCCATAGTCTTCAAAAAGCTTAGCACAATCAAAAGATTTTTTGAATAGAGAATGTATGGACCATTTACAACTTCTGCAAATTTCTCTTGTCCTTCCTTCTTGGAACAAGTTCTTAAGTTTAGATTTTGGACCCGTAAAGTACAAGACATGGCTTAGTCCTATTCTTCTCCATTCTCACTTAAATTTCGAAAAATTTAGCACAATCAAAAGGTTTTCTCAAATGGAAAATGTTTGGATCATTTACAACTTCTACTTAAAAAAAATTATCCTTCTTTCATGTAAAAAGGTCATTAGTTTATAACTAGAACCTTTGAATATAAGAAAATGGCTCATTCCTTTTTTCCATTCTCTTATAGATTTTATAAAATTTAGTACAATCAAAAGTGCCTTTATAGTGTGCATTTAAAAATTGTCCTCTATGGCAACCACACCAGACAAAGGCTCTACCTACTTCTTGGACATATACCTCAAAAGATTGGATTTGATTAAAAATCTTGATTTAATTGCACAAAAAATCCCTAACATAGACAAATGGACAAACAACAACAACATTGACAACAAATTCTTAACAAGTTTTTGCAAAAATCCTAGAATTAAGGATTCACAAAAGACATGTTTTTATCAAATTCCATACTGGACAATACATAGGAAATGCCCGCAAACAATTCTTCTTTGGCATTGAATGATTTCCATTCATAACATGTCCAACATGTTCATCTACAAATTTAGGCACATGACATCATGTACTTTTTAAATGTCAAAACCCCACATCTACTCTCTAATTATCAAAAGGCATAATAAAACGATATGAAAAATCTGAAAATTAATAGTATCATAAAAAAAAACCCGTTGCTTCATTCTCATGAACGTCGAAATCTTCAACAATAACCCACAAGAAAATACACTTCCATCATGGCTTCTCCCATATACTTGTGGAACTTAAAGATGTTACTGCAATATCCAACTCTAATCAAACATATTATGTATCAAGGGACTCTCATATAACGACCCCCCACTAGACCACATCAATTCTAATTTCACAATCCAATTTAAAGAATTCAAGTATTGTAACAATAGATTTCTACCAAAAGCAATTGATCACAAATATTAATAACTTGTTAATAACATTAAAGCCCTCGGATGGAAAGTTGACCCATTCATTGTCATTACTACTGGCGCTAGAGCTACCACCTTCACGCCATCAATGATTAGCCTTGAAAATATATTTAACATTTCCACTGCCCAAATCATGGTAACATTCAATGGAATCAACACCATTGTCATCCAATACGCAATGAAAATCCTCCTATTAAAATAAAAACTCTAAAATTACCAATCCTCCTGAAATCCCACGATAACTCCTAAAATTGTTAC